TTCAAGCCAATGGTCCAGGCCTTTCCTCCATCTCTGGCGACCAGATTCTCCCAAACATCTCCGCATGGTCAACGCCTTCACCTTGGAAAGATGCAGGCCATGAGACAGGGGGCCCTGGGACCAGGAAAAGAGAGCCCAGGCTCAGGTGCCCGTCCCGGCTGCACCTGGTATGTCACTGCAGAAGTACCAGGTTCCTTTCCCGAGTGAGGAAAAAGTGCCGAGGGAGAGAGCCGTGTGCCGAAATTCCCAAAGCCCTCCCCTTCTGGGTACTCGCGTCCTAGGAGCCTGTGGCCTCTCCTGGTTTGTGTGCAGCTCAGCAGACACTGGAAGGCTAGGTAAGACACTCCGCATTGGGAAGCCACGCTGCTGAGGAGCCCAAGAGAGATTCTGGAAGGCAGGTGCCCCCAAGGGGTGGTTTTCACAGTGTTGGCGAAGGGCATAGTGATATTAAAGAAACCGGGAGAATACCAGAAGGACACCTTTCCTCCTTCGGACAGGGGACTTGACGCAGGGATAGATGCATTCTACACACAGACACAACACTTAGAACAGAGGGGCCCCGGGTTCCCGGCACAGGGGCTCTGGGAGGGTTATACAACACCTAGCACAGTATCTGGCACAGCAGGAGTAGAAATAATAAACAGCAGTGTCTTTTTTCTTCTTTCCCCAAGGTTAGATTAGATCCCAGATAAGGTACAAGGGTCCCTGGGAAAACACAGCATGGCTAGTGAGTCCAAAGGTTTGTCACAAAAGGCAACATAGTCACCTATAATCCTCATCATCCACCAGAGCTGTTTTGGCCCTTTTCCAGAGACGTACAGAAAGGGGACCATGGACTTTTTTCCTCCCTCCCCCCCACCCCACCGCCCCCTTGGCAAAAACACGTCCCTTCATTGGCACAAGGCAACAGTTCATAGACTTCAGTCAGGAAATTCCAAAGGTTTATTGCAGGGACGGTGTGAGCGCCGACTGCTTCACTCGGTCTTACGCAAGTGTGTGGGGCCATGGATGGAGCTGGGACATTGATAAGTCACCTTTTCCTTATGGCCTTAAGTCTATATTCCCTCCCCCACACCATGCCTTACTTAGTCTTGGGGTTTAAGCAACGCAAAACGTTTCATTTCTGAGAGGTACCAAGAAATAAAGCTCCGAGAATGCCTTCCAGGGGGAAAAGCATGGAGGCAGAATTTTCATGTAAAATTATAGAGCACAACCTAACACTTTTTTTTTTTTTTTTTTTTTAAATGAGGGAGTTGGAAGAAGGAAGGAGAGAGCCTTAGAACCTGATTGTTTTGTCTTTCCTAACAAACATGTATGAGGGCCCTGGCATCCAAGATTCAGAGTCAGTCTTTTCCTGGATTAAGAATTGAATAATTGTTCTTCCTATAAAACGGACGTTTCTAAATCTAGCTGCTTTCTAAGACGAGTAGAGATGAAACACTCTTACATTCTTGCCCGATGTCTAAGCGGGGCTTGTCCTCCATATGCCAGCCTGCAGCCCAGGCTCCGGAGGTAAAATTCATACGAGGTACCATCTCCGTCTTTCACAGGCGTAAGGGAGAGTCTGGCTCTGGGAGGGGGAAAAAGTCTCGGCGAGGTTGGAAGGAGGGCAAGGTTATAACTCAAAGTGGGGTGACATCACGTGGGACCTTCCTCCCTGGGCCTGCCCCCGGGGGCTGTCAGACTGCAGGTGTGGCCACTCCTGACTCTGGGGAGCCCCTGTCCGAGGAGCCCCCTTGCCTCCCAGCGTGGAGGAGGCTGGCACCAGTCATCAGCCAGGTCGCCTCTTATGCGAGTCATCGAAGGCCACGGGCACTGCAGATGGGAGGAACCCCGCAGGTCCGGGGGTGGCCACGGCCGGTTCTGAGGACTGACCTCATCTTCTCATCTCTAGACTTCATACCTGCTCTGCCCTCAAAGAGCCCACAGCCCCGCTCTGGGCCCCAGCTGGGCCTGGGAGGCAGCGCCGAGGTCAGAGCCTCCTCCAGGCTTCTCCGCCAGCAACAAGCACGCATTCAGTGAGGACAGCGGTACTCCGTGGTCCTGCGTCCCCGCCAACCCAAAGAAAGTCCCCATACACCGCTGAGCTTTTACAACTCCGCAGCTCGGAGCACACAGGGCCCGTGTCATCCAGCTGTAAATCCTGCCAACAGCCCGCCCCGCCCGCTGGCCGCTGGGCTGCTGGGCGCTGGGCCATTCCCTCCGCCCTCTCTCCTAAATGCTCTCAGTCCATTCCTCATCCTTCTGCCTCGCCCGCCAGGCCATTTCCCGTCCTCCCTCCCTCCCTCCCTCCCTCCCTCCCTCCCTTCCTCCTTCCTTCTCCCTGAGCCTCAGAGATCACAGCCAGCAGAAGCTTCTAGATTATTCTTTTCATTGTATCTGAGACAATCAGCTTCAGATACGCAGGGGTGGGGGAGGGGGAGGGGGGGAAAAAGGCAAAATATTTTTTGCTTTCGACCCTTCCAGAAGGCGTAAAAACAAAATAACGTACAAACACAAATCACTTGACAATTTTATGACTGAAAACCGACAAATGGGAAGCAGGCAGCTAGCTCTGCGTGCTGCTGACATCATCCAGCGCTCCTGGCCAGCCCGCTCAGCCACCCTGGCCTCAGATCTATTTCCAGCCGCACCAAACGTGTCTGCGGTAACATCACTCTCCTGCTTCAAAGAGGGCTCCAGCTCTGACGTCGGAAGACAGAGCTCCAGGTGAAAAGTCCGAGTTTCCCCGGGAACCCGTTTCCGGATTCACACAACACTCCCCCACCAGGTTCCCGGGAAACACGAGGTGCTGTGCACGCATGTGTCATGTCAACGTGTTAAATGTCAGCAAAATGACACAAGCAGGTTCCATCTTCGGGCAGAAGGTGGCGATTTCCAGGGAAGCCTCTCCCTGGGCCACCACGTGGAGGAGTGACAGGGAAGACGGGGAGCATGGGCTTCCTAAGAACAGGAATCCCGGGACCAGGCCATGGGCAGAGCAGTGAGCACGGCCCGCCCTGGACACGTGTGGGGTGGGGCTCGGGGCTCGGCCGTTGGCTCACCATGGAGGAAAACTATTTCAGTCGCTTGGCCAAAACCATAGACGGGGAGGGAACGTAAAACCCTGGGGCGCCTGGACTCTCCCGGCGTTTTCCTGCTTGAAGCAGGATGAAACGCCTTGCAATGTTGGCTGCGTCTCTATTTATGTAACAACCGCAGCTGCTCCCCAGAATGGCTGCTGCTGGCTGGGAGGAGGCAGGGCGTTTGCTGCTAACGTGTGAGTCCATGTTCCATCGCTCTTAGCTGAGTTTCCTTCCTTTCCCTTTGTGCCCTGGGCCTCGGAGGAGACGAGGGACCTCAGCATCAGCTCATGGTGCCTTGGCCACGGGCTACGTGGACGGATTTCAAAGTCCGGGCTCCTCCTCTCGGGAAGAACAGATTGAGATTCTGATTCTGTTCTCTGGCAGGCGATCGCTCGGTTCCCAGAACATATGAACCACCCGCCTTCGGGGGGGGGCCGATGGCGGGGCCCTTCCCACGCACAGCCCCCGAAGAGAGACGCAGACAGACGGACAGCGCCCCTTCTGTGTTTCTGAGGGACCACCTTGAACCGGACTGTGGGCGCAGCATGGAATACGGGGCACCCTCCCCAGGGGGTGGTGAGGACGACCCTCTCGGAAGCTATCAAAGGCGTTAAAAAAATACAAAAGTTATTTTTTCTCCTTTGGATGGCTATTTACTTGTGACAACATTTGTTTAAAAATATTAACTTCTGTCTTTGGGAAGAGATCATCCTCTTCGTAGAATATGGAAAAATAAACTGTACCGAACCACAGTTCACGTCGCCCATGACACCTCCTCCGAGGTCCACGGGCTACGGTGTCAGGGAGGGAACCCTTTCTCACTGTCCCACCCAGGGCTGCACGGAGGAGGCGGGGGGCGGGGGGGGGACCAAGCTCCGGGCTCACTGGAGGGAGGGAAGGAGGCAGTAGGATGGTTTCTTTGCTAATAAAACCCAGGGGACAGGGTGGCTTCGGGCCCTCCTAAAAAGTCGTGGGCTGTCCCCTCATCTCTTCCGGCCACTGGCTGCCCAGCTAATAAGTGGCCGCTTCTCCGTGGGAGGGAGGGGGAGGGGCCATTGGGCCGAGACTCGGCGCCACTGCCGAGGAGGGCTCCTCTTCCACACCCAGGAGCCCGGGAGGACACTGAGCGGGACGAATGGGAGAAGACAAGGATACATAAAAACAGTAAAATGTTTATTTTCTTAGAAAAAAAAAAAGTGGGGGTGGGACCTGAAATGATTGTGATCACACGTCCGCCTGCCTCTGAGCAAAGACGATGCCGCAAGCTTACTGCTTGACTGAGACGCCCCAGTTAGGGACACGGCCTGCTGCGGGCTCCCAGGTGGGGCCCGGGAGTCAGCTCACAGCATGCTCTCGATCGATCGATCGATTGATCAGAAGCGCTTCTCTGCCTCTTCTCAGCAGAGAACCGAGGTTTGCCATGGCAACCATCCCATCTCCAAAGCGCACCGTCGCCCGCCTGCCCGCGAGAGGCAGGGCCCTGGACTACTTTGGGGCAGACGGGGAGGAAGGACAGAGGGAAAGGAGACGCTTAGAAGCGGGACGGCTCTAGAACATAAGTCTGACAGCCGAGGTCGCCCTCCTCTTATAGAAAACGGGCTGGGGCGCCCCCGTGAGACCGACAAGTATCGTTAAGGTGAGATCGCAGGGTTTTGCTGCACACCTGGACACGAGAGGAGTGAGAAGTTGCAACAGGTTTTTAACTAGCAGCAACAAAGAAAGTTCAATGACAGTTTTGTGTTTGTTTTTAGCAATATCCCTTTGCGAGTTCGTTAGGAAACACTGTGATTGAGTGGGGCATACGGATATGGAACCGAATCTTCTTTTGCGATAGTGCTGTGTTCCCGGAGAAGAGGACCGACCTTTGCAGAGATTTCGACTGGGGTGTCACCTATTTACACAGTAGTAGCTCCCGGTTCGAGGGCCAGGTGGGTGCTATGTGATGTCCTCTTCCTCCGAACAGTAATCTCGACCCTGGAGGGGAAAGGGAAAGAGTGAGTGTGACGTGTGATGAGAAATTCCGAGCAGAGCTCGACACAGCCACTGCTCGCCGATCCGTTTCCTGTCGGCACCCGTCTCCGTGCACCACCAACAGGATAGATACGTCAAAACGATCTGTTTAGAAACTGTATTCTGGTCTATACACTGCAGAGACCTCAAAGCATGGAAATCTTTTTTTTTTTTTCAAATATATATTTTACTGATTTTTTACAGAGAGGAAGAAAGAGAGATAGAGAATTAGAAACACCGATGAGAGAGAAACATCGATCAGCTGCCTCCTGCCCAAACCCCACTGGGGATGTGCCTGCAACCAAGGTACATGGCCTTCACCAGAATCGAACCTGGGACCCTTCAGTCCCCAGGCCGACGCTCTATCACTGAGCCAAACTGGTTAAGGCGAAGCAAGGAAATCTTAACCAGCCCCGAACAAGCCCTCGGTAAGCACTCCCACGACCACAAAGGCCTCCGCCTTTCACCGAGAGAGTATCACAAGGATGCTCCATGCAGGAGGCCAACTTCTCCTGAACAAGAGACACAGAAATGGACACTGAACAGGCCGCTTTTCGCTGGGGCCAGGGCAGCTTACTTTTTTTTTTTTTTTTTAATTGATTTTTTAAAATATATTTTTTATTGATTTTTTTCCACAGAGAGGAAGAGAGAGGGACAGAAAGCTACAAACATCGATGAGAGGGAAACATCGACCAGCTGCCTCCCGCACAACCCACACCGGAGATGTGCCTACAACCAAGGTACATGCCCTTGACTGGACTCGAACCCGGGACCTTTCAGTCCGCAGGCCGATGCTCTATCGGCCTGCGGACTGAGCCAAACCGGTTTTGGCGGCAGCTCACATTTGATAGCTGCATCTCGGTGCCCGGAATTTACAATTTTACAGAAGGGGATGGGGTAATCCAGGGATGTCTGAGTTTTAATCCATTTTAAATTAAAACGGGATTAAAAAAAAAACCAAAAACCAACAACAAGGCCTCAGTGACTCTAACACAGCTTAAGACTGTGTTTGGTATGTGTGGGATGCCCCAGAAAGACAGCAACGCCTTTGATTCCTTCGCTTACAAGAAGGCTTGCGGACTCTAGGCAATTGCGACACATGAACATAGTTCATCTTCTTTCCACTCTACGAAGGCGCCCTGAGGACTGGGGTTTAAGCTCCACAGCTGACCTGGCTGGGTTGCCTCGGTCGAAGCCCACGGCTTCCTGGTCTGTTATCTGTCCATCACAGGAACAGAATGCCTGCCCGCATCACAATGTCACAGACGAGAGCTTTGTAAACGTCACCATTTACACTGGTTGCATCCTTTGTTCTTTTTCTTTTAAAATACACACTATATGTTTCATTTTTTTTGGGGGGGGGAGGGAATATTCCTTCAAAACCAGAATTTTTTAAATAACTAGAACTTATTCATAAAAGCCTCTCCAACTTAAAGAATATAATAATTTTGCATAAAACTATTTATCAAGGGTATTACACGTTTCTTTGTCACACTATCTGTATATTGGAGGTATTTCCCATTTTCCTAATACTTAACTGTTGTTGTGGTAAATTATTGGGCCATCTGAGCTGAAGGGTAACTTACTAGCTCTGGGATCTCAATGAAGTTACCTCCCTGGGCCTCGGTTTCCCCACCTGTACAATAACGTTAACAACAGCCGCTACTTCACAGGGTTGCTGGAGATTAAATGAGTTAATAGTCGTAAGGTGATCCCATAGTGCCTGGCATTCAACAGGGTATTTTCGTTTCCTCCACCGGCTGATTGCCAACTCCCCCCTGCTCCTTGCGGAGTGCCTGACCCCAGTGTGGTCGCCAGGCGGGTTCCCTCGCTGCATGAAAAGGCCTCCTGGGCAGAGAAGCTGGGCAACGGCCTCAGCAGTCACCCCACAGTGACGGCCTCCCTGGGACACCTCTCAAGCCAATGGGGACCCATCAGGAGACACGCTCCGGGCCACATGGTGAAGAGTGAGAAAGGAGACCTCGTGGACCCTGAGTGTGGGGAATTCCTTCCCCAGGGAGGGAGGCAGGACACATCCGGGCACAGCAACTCGATGCCAGAAGCCAACCTGCCAGGTGGGGCCCTCCTCATTAGGCCCAGGGGTAGCCCTGCAAGTGGACAAGGGGCGTTCAGCGGAGGGGAAAGGCAGGCTCATGGAGTTTTCAAAAGGAAGGACAGAGGACACAGTTCCGGTTGTGCGACATCGGCACATTACGGGGCGTTGGTTTCCTGGGGATAATCATCGTCTCTGCCTCGGAGGGTCAAGATCAGGATGAAGTGGAAAAAACACAGTGCCTGGCAGGCAGTCAACACATAGGAGCTGCTGGCATTGTTATGACTATTAAAGCGCATGCCTGATCAGTCTCCTGGCAGAGGAATAGGGACCTCCTTCCTGCGGCTGACAGGGGAAGACTATGGTCCTAAACTGTGACCTGGCAGGTGTCAGGGACTCCTTTCTCCCACCACAGCCTGGCCCCCAAGACAGGCCACAAGTGCATGCTCCCGAATAAAACTTCCATGGCAGACACCTGAGCCCCTTCTCTTCTTCTATCTAACTCAGGCCTCACCTCCATGTAAAGGCCCGGGATGGGGTTCAGAGGGCCCCTCATCCACAAGGAAGACTTGGCCCAACGACAGACAGACAGACCACACTCAGGCGAACCGGTGCACTCATTGATAAAGCAGCGTCTCCAACTCCATAAACGGGTTATGCAGTAGAAGGTGCATTGCAGACCCTCCATGTTGACTAGGACCATAGACAAGTGCCTCCTGTGGAGGAACAGGTCTATGGAAATGTCTGTGTAAATTTAAGACTGCAACTTGCATTTTCCAAACATTGGCTCCTCTGGAATGACCACAGTTACGGCAAGAAGGGGAAGAAAAATGGCATTGGTTGCTTTGCATTGGTACCCACACCAACCCTGGCCGACGCTGAAGGCGGGAGTGGTGTCTTGTGACTTGTAGGAAAACCTCAGACCAGCTCAAGAGCCCTGGACAATCCTCCCCCAACCCTTCCCCAACTGTAGTAAGTTGGTAACAAAATTTACAATTCAAATCTGTTTCAGTTTTGTTATTATCACCTGTCAGTAGCTCTGAGAACCAAATCTTTTAAAAACAGAAAACTTGAAAATCACAAACATCAAGAGCACGAGCTCTCAGATGGCCGGCGTCGCTTTAAGAAATGGGAGCCAGAGAGCTGCGACGTGAGTGGCCTCATCTTGGCATCACCTGGGCCCTATCCCACTGCACACCAGCCCTACCTGGCAGGGCAGGGAGCTGGCTTTTGTGAGTCAAGTCACATTTACATTTTTAAAGAGCTGTGCTAAAAAAGGGCACTTAAAACCTTCAGCTGTCAGAAGGCAGGAAGTGGGAGGGAGGAGCTGGGTGTGGGAGACACAGCGCTCTCTGAGCTGGAGCATGCCCTTTCTCCTAGAAGGGACTACAGACTGGAAGTCTTTGTGGAGGGGCTCTGGGCAGTTGGAATCAGCGACTGCAACACACAATTCCACCCTTGTTCGAAGGCCCCTCTGAGAGCTACAGAGAGCAAGGGCCCTCCCAGGGCCCCACATGCTGGAGGACCGGAAATGCCCGATGATGCTGACAGGGAAGGGTTGTTGGAAGAACCATGTGGGCATTTGGGTGCAGACACACACACACACACACACACACACACACACACACACACACACAAAATCACGGCTTTTGCTTACTGAAATCTCCCTGACTGTGCCCTTCCTCTGCAGGGGAACACCCTCTATCCTCTTCCGCTGCTTGCATTCCTTTCTTGGAAACGTACAAAGTTTGTCAACTCAGAACATACATTTCCAAGGTGCTAGAGTAAACAGTTTTGTCTGTTGAAAGGTCTATGCTAAGAATTAGCGATTGTAAGGACTAGCAAAGGAAAGGACATTGTCCTACTTTCAAATTCTGCAAGCTTTAAGAAAAAAAAAATCTTCACTGCTGAAAGTATTACATGTGTGCTCTCTTTACCCACCAATTGATCCCTGTTAGCCTGCCCCACCCCCGCCTAAGGCCTTCACCACCCTATTGTCTGTGTCCATGGGCTATGCTTATAGGCATACAGGTTCTAAAATTCTGCAAGTTTATTTAAAAAATATATTTTATTGATTTTGTACAGAGAAGAAGGGAGAAAAATAAAGAGTTAGAAACATCGATGAAAGAGAGTCATCGATCAGCTGCCTCTTGTAAACCCCACACTGGGGATATGCCCGCAACCAAGGTACATGCCCATGACCGGAATCGAACCCGGGACCTTTTCAGTCCCCAAGCTGAAGCTCTATCCATTGAGCCAAACTGGTTTCGGCAAATTCTGCAAGTTTAAAGAGGGATGCTCGATGAGTGACTTCAAAGGAAGAAACTGTTCCTGCAGCCTGCCTACAGCACCTTTCCTTCTCAAGTTTAAGTACACAAACAGACTAGGCCTGACCGTGCAGTGTTAGGTGCAATTTTATCATGTTAGTCTTCAGTATATTTTTGTAGATGAGGATGCATTGGGCCTAACATACAGCTCGGGCATATAACCATCAACTGTGAGCTGCCTACTTTCCCAATGTAGTGCATTAGAGCTAGGTTGAAATTACTGAGAGCAAGCACTGAGCCTCAGTTTCTCCATCTTTAAAATGGGAACAGACCTAACTTGCAGCAGTGATGTGAGAATTAGAAGTAAAATACATAGGGTGTTTAGCAAATCATGGCACATAAATTACAGCTCTTACGATGATATTGAAAAATGAGATCAATAGATCCAACAGTTCATAAACTGCTTCGGTGAGAAATTCTGCCCACAGCTAGATCAATCAGTTACAGTCAGGTCCTTAGTCAAGCCATGTACCTCAGGGCCTGGACGCTTGTCCTTCTTCCTCACTGGCTGGCTCCCGCTGTCCCCAGCCCTCATGCAATATCCATTCCTTCTTCTCAATCTCTGCTCAAATGTCACCTCATTG